AGACATAATCAAACACACGAAAAGGAGGAAAGCAGAACATGCCTAGAATGTGGGAAATGTTTCTCCAGCAAGTCATACCTGCTGCAACATCAGAGAATTCACACTGGGGAATGTTCACATCAATGCCCAGAATGTGATAAGCAATTTGTGACTCCTGCTGCACTTCGGAGACACCAAAGGAGGCACACGGGAGAAAAACTCTATCAGTGTAAGGTTTGTGGGAAAAGCTTTTTTGAAAAGTCAGCTCTTTTTCAACATCAGACAATCCACACAGGAGAGAAGCCCTATCAGTGCATCGAGTGTGGAAAATTTTTTCGTTTGATATCAGGCCTCAGACTTCATGAGAATGTTCACAGAGGAGAAAAAAAATTCAGATGTTTAGACTGTGGGAGAGAATTTGCTCATTCATTCCAATTTAGACGTCACTGCCAAATACATACAGGAGAGAAACTCTATAAGTGCTCGGAGTGTGAGAAATCTTTTCGTTGGAAACAATATCTTCGAGAACACCAGTGGATTCACACAGGAGAGAAGCCTTACAAGTGTGTGCAGTGTGGAAAGAGCTTTACTCGCAACACACAGCTTTCGATCCATGTAAAGCTTCACACAGGCATAAAACACAAAGTGCAGAAAAAGGAAAAGTGTCCAGAATGTGGGAGATGTTTTTCCAGAAAGGCACACCTCATTCGACATCAGAGGCTTCACACCGGAGACAGACCCTATCAATGCCCAGAATGTGAGAAACGGTTTGTGGAGTCTGCTCAACTCCTGAGACACCAGAGGGGGCACACGGGGGAGAAGCCCTATAAATGTGCCGAGTGTGCAAAATGTTTTCTCACAGCAACAATGCTTCGGGTTCACGAGAGAATCCACACGGGGGAGAAGCCATACAAATGTGGGGAGTGTGCAAAATGTTTTCTCACAGCAGCACTGCTTCGGGTCCATGAGAGAATCCACACAGGGGAGAAGCTATATAAATGTGGGGAGTGTGCAAAATGTTTTCTCACAGGAACAGTGCTTCGGGTTCATGAGAGAATCCACACGGGGGAAAAGCCGTATAAATGTGGTGAGTGTGGGAAATGCTATTCCCGAAAAGACCACCTTGGAAAGCATCAAAAGGTCCATACAGGAGTGAAGCCATAAAGACTCATAGAGTGTAGAAATGTTTTGCTCAAAAGGGAGACAGCAGAAGAATCAGACTAGAGAGTAAAGGGATTTACTGTTTCATATTTTTCTTATGTAGAGTTAAACATTTAAAGTAGATGAAATGATATTTGGAATTGAACAGGAGACTATTAAGGAGAATTTGAAACTGAACTACAGCTTGCGCAAATGATGGGCATGTAATTACTTGGTTATCCATGATAATCTTGGTATTCTCCAACACTGAAGTTCCAAAACTGCCACACTGTTCCTATCCTCCTCCAACTTTCTCTTCCGTAGAACAGGAATTTCATGGCTACCACCATTCGGATCATAAGATTCTGTTACTCAAGACTATATCAATTAAAATAAGCATTCTGGAAATCTTTTTGGGTTTTGTTTCCTGACTTAGCCTTCCCTGAAGAGCTGACATCCGTCTTGATCCTGTGATACCATTTTTCTTTCCAAAACGGGCAAGGCAAAGTAACGTTAAATTTAGATCCTACCCCTGGTATTTCTTTGCTACTGCCCAAGCGTTTTCAAACTGTTTATTCATGAACTTGTTTAAAAAATCCAGATTGGGCTAAAGTTCATCTTTGGGGTTTGGTACGTTGTGTATCACGATACAAAAAAGATGTTCAGACTAGTAAGGGTGCAGAGAAGAGCAACAAAGATGAGTAGACGACTGGAGGAGGCTAAAACATCAGACAAATGGTTGCAGGCACCTGGTTATGTCTAGTGAGTCCAACGAAGAGAAAGACTAGGGCTGACAGGAGGGGAGTCTCCCAGTAATTGGGAAGGTGTCATGAAGAGGGGGACAGCCTATTTTCCAAAGCAAGTGATGGCTGAACAAAAAGTAATGACTAGGAATTTAATCAAGGAGAAATTTCTTAATATTTAGAACAATAAGCACACCAGCTTGTCTTTAAAAGTTGTGAGTGCTCCACGGTGGATGCTTTTAAGAAAATACTAGA